GACACATTGGAGTAAATGTTTTGAAAAGCCAGCGAAAGGAATTGCTTCCAGGAATCCACTGCCGCTGCCGGCGGCATATCAATGTCCTTAGCCAGAAGAAATCAAAAAGTTGGATCACCTGGCCGCATCGAGATGTCTGTCTGTCTGTCTGTCCGTGATTATGTGCGGGTGCCGCTTAATCTTCATCGGCTACCTGTGGCCCATTGTTCTCGCCAAATTGTGAATGACCCCGCAAAGAACGCCAACCCCCAAAGAAGCTTCTCCTCTGTCCTGCCACTTGCCATCTGCCTTGACTCCCGACTCCAGGCCACATTCGCGCAGGTTTCGTGCCTATTCACGCTTCGTTATCCTGTCAATGCGTCGGCATTAAGCGCATTGTGTGTCAACGCAATCCCGTTGCCATCCTGAAACTCAAACTCACTCTCCCGCTTCGTCTGCTACCTTTCCTCTTTTATCTGTTTTTTAGTAAACTGATTTTGTAGAGAATGTCCTGTTATGGCATACACTAAGCGTGCTGTTTAGCCTATTAAACGTGTCTCCCAAATGGAGTGTGTAAATATTTTATAATTGTGCTGCGGCGATTAAGGTTTAGGCAATGCACCAGGAGGTCCTCAGGAAGTGAAAGGGCACAACGCAATGGAAAAAACAGGAAACATTTAGGAAGGTAGAGGATATGACATTAATACTCTTATAAAAAAAATTTGATACAACATTATTGACTGAAATACTCTAGATAACAGGGAGTTAGCAGTTATGTTATAATTATATACAAATAATGAGCTAGCTAAAATCAATACTATTTAAATGCTCTTGAGTTTATGAACAAAATACAAGAAATAGAAAAATAACGAGAGAGAGAGAGCAGCACAATGCTATATGAGATTACTTTTAGCTCAACTTGAAGAGAGAATATTAAGTAGGAATATATGACGACACGCCGAAGATTTAATGTCCTTGCACATGGCTTAGAGCTGCTATTTTCCTATAGGAACCATAAAATACTGTAGTAATTGATTATGTCCTGCAGATGAGTCATAAAAGTCCGAAGTTTTTTAAAACAATAACTTTATTTTTATATAATTGATTATATTTTTCCCAACAATATTTTATATAAAGGTACAAAACAAGAAAAGAGTTTCGGGACCACTTGTAAAATTTATTTTAAGCACCATTTAAATGTAGAAATAGTTGAAAATCCTAAAATAAGATATAAAGATCTCTCGCACACATATATTATCATTATTATACCCGAATTATACATTTTGTGCTGTGAGACCATCAGCTGCTTGGGGTTTTGAAGAGCAGGATCTAAATCATAGGCGAAAGTTGATTTTTTCCCGAAATATTCAAATGTACAGAGCTGGAAATTGCATTTAAATAGAGTAAGAATTTACAATCCTTCAAATTCTTTCAAAAAATCATAAAAAGTATCCCGCCAAACTGAAGCGCAGCTGATGCAATCACTAAGCTAGTATAAACCGAGTGCTACGCCCTTATTAACAGCATTTTTAACACCTTTCGCCAGCCGTTGGCTAACCAGCAGGACCTTAGGCCAAATCAGAGGCTCTTGGTAGTCTGAAAAAAAAAACAGAAATACCCAAAACAATGTTGAGGCAAAAAAAAAACTCATTACACCGGTCGGGCCAGGCCCAACAATGCAAACGGGAAACCAAGGAAACAGCGCAAGGATTGCATCTGCGCCGTTCGGGCAGGCAGCACAAATCAGTTTCTGTCAACCGGGCGATGGTGATTCGGATGCTGAGATGCCGATGCCGATGCTCGGCTAATGCTGTTGAGGGTGTTGGCTGGCGCGTTGGTGGCTTGGCATTGACAGCTGCTCCTTTGGCGCGTCTCGCCAGCGTCTGCGTCTGCGTCTTGGCCAGGGGTTTTTGGCAAGACGTGCATCTGTTTGCACAGCCCTTAGAGTGAGGAAGGAGGCAGAGATGCTGTACTCGGACGTTGACTTGCATCTGCAGACGCACAATGAGCACGCCGAGGATAATTCAAGCAAAAAGGAACAAAACATCATGATCGTCATCAAAACAATCACAGCCAGAGCAGGAGCCGGGCTCGGGAGCAGGGGAGCGTTCCCTCCTGCCACGAGCATGTGACAAACAATAGTGCACCACCACCACCACCGCCACGACCACCACCACCATGGGCAGCACTCGTCAGCGCCTGCGCTTCCCTGCGAGTTTTTGGCGGCATGCCACCGCCGCTGCCGATGCCGCTGCCGTTGCCGCCATTATCAACGTGCGTTACCTGAGGCATGTCCTTTGTTGGTCCTGGGCTGCCTTTTGATTTTGCATTTGTTGAATTTCATATTCCCTGCCCGGGTAATGCAACCGCAATTGTTTTGCTCTGTTGCTCTGTTGTTTCCTCGCGTTTTGGCATGTGCACAGCATTTCAATGGTAGGTAAATGAGTCTTGTTCCGATATGCTCTTGTTCTTGTTATGCAGATGCATTTCATTAGATGGAACACAAATTGCATAACAGCAGCTGCCCCATTGCAATCCGCAAAATATTCTAAAGATGTTTGCAGGTGGCTTGAACTCGAATCAGGCTTCTGTTTAAACAACAAAATAATATAGAAGTATGTTAAATGAATAATAATTAATAAAAATAATATTTTCATTGTCACTAATTATGTAAATAATATAAATACTTTAAATTTAAGGTATGTAGACCTACTCACATATAAATCAAGTGAAAGTCTAGCTATATGTGTAAGATTGTAAGATGATAAATCTTTAATTATCCAGACACTCCATATAAAATGCATTCCCACGAATTAACAAAATTAATTCGTGGGAAATACCAAATCGCTGTCCATTAGAAAACCAAAAATCCTTCGTAGAAATTGCCAATCCTTTGAATTGTTTACATAATGTACCCACATTAACAAATCGAAAATGGGTAAAGATTTATAAAACACAAAAAATGAAGATTTCGGGAGAATTGTACAACAGTATAACAATGAGCCCAGTTGACAAACTCGCGTATTTACAATTACAAATTACACGAGTTTATCGAGCATTAGTTGCCTGACAAATGATCAGTGAGTGTAAAACTGAACTGCCCGCCCCCAGTTCCCTTTCCCTTTTCCCTTGGACAATCGATAAACGCGTTAAAGTGAGAACAATCAATCCAGCACGTTCTAACGATTTACATGTCAACTTGACAGACAGCTAGACAGACAGCTAGACAGACAGACAGGCGGGCAGACCTTTGAGCTGAGACAATGGTCAGAGATTGGAGACTGGCGCTATAAATATATACTTAATGTGCTGGCACTTCGTGTGTGTCCAGGTGTCCCGTACGAGTTTCGCTTTCATTTGTCAGTGGCGTTTGACACCTTGTTGTACAGACATTGCAAGTTAAGATACCCATCTGAGGGCAGGCCGAGCCGTACCCCGTATCGTGCCGAACTGTATTGTGACACGTCCTCAGCGCTATGTAAACACAGTTGTGTCGGCTTCCAAAGTTTCATGTTCCTCCACCTCCGGCTCTTGCTCCATCTCCCGCTTCTTTGCGTCATCCAAAATTTGATTATGCTCGCGTGATAATTATGCACGGCAACTTATGGGGCAATCACATCGCAAGCTCCTGGACTATGTCTACTATCAGCCGATGACAATCGGGCCTCATTGTTTCCGTTTCCCACCACCATTCAATTTTGTATAAATTGCGTCTTTGGCATTGCCTGCGCTTCTTGTCTCCGTCCCAGCCCCACCGATCGACCGACCGACCGACCGACCGACCGATCGGCCGTACCACAACGAACCTTCCAGACAGCCATCCAGCTGCGTGGCAGACCGTTCGGCTGGCAGTAAATTTTATGGTTAACTACACTCGACATTTCTGCTATTTAACCTTTTGTGCAACGCTTATCGAAGCTCTAACGAAACCTTTCCCCAACCGCTTGCCCAGCACCGATTACCGATTACCCCACGTGCGTTTTGTTGCCTCGGGCCTGGCCCTCTTTTTCTTGATTCTGTGTATATGTTAATTCGTGCCAAGTGTTCCGATAATAAACGAGTAGTCGAGCATGCAAGTCTGTCTGTCACACGAGGTTGCTTGAGAGGGTAAAGTTGATCCCCGATCATAATATAATAATGAGGTTTGTAGCATAGTGTTAAAAAATAAAGAATTGAAAGTCATGCTTATTTTGGCATTTAAGATACTTAGAAATATTGTAATGACTTCTGCAGTAAACTAAGCTAATATGCCGGAAACAGCTTCGAATAAAAAAGTAACGCTCCATACACCCTGTATCAAAATAATCTTAATATACAATATATATAGAAATCCATCTCAAAAATTTAAATGTGTCTAGATTTAGAATAGTATTTTATAATCTAGTATATTGCGATCATTTTTTCTGGTGAAACGAATTTGCAGAGCTCGGCTTACGGTTGAAAACCCTACCTTTAGGTTTGGTGTGTGAACCCGGCTTAATTTTATAAGGTGTATACAAAGTTAAAAGCCGGAATCGAATCGAACCGATTCAAACTGAAATTTTAAATGTATTTTCTACTTTGTATCGAGCTCTAAGCGAAACCAGTTTCCCAAAAAGCAAACGATCCGAACTATATATTTCTTTGAAATTAATTCGCAAAACAAACAATTTTGTTCCCCTAAATTTCTGAAATACATTTCTAATAATATTTTGTTTTTAGCCTATATTCCCTTATTCTCAACTAACTTTTAAAAATGTAAAAATTGTATATGAATTATTTTGTTTGGCTCAACCCTGTAAAATGCAGTCCCAAGTGATTATATTTGCTCCCATGGTCACTTAGATTCCCGTATCATCGTTTGATTATATTTTCAATTTTTGTGAATATGTGTAGAATTTAATTGCATATGCACATGTACTCCGCTTTATGTGCTCTTAATCTTTGAAAATATCATTCAGGTTACATTTTGTATCCCTGTCTGTGGTTTCATCTCTCGTTTATATGGACTCTGCTAGGCAGGCCCCGAACTTTCTCTCATTTAGTATTTATCATATTAATTTACATGCACGTGTAGCTTTGAAATCCATCAAAATCATTTAAAACACAAACAATTGAAAATTCTTATAAATTCAATTTCGCTTTAGACAGTACATTGATCGAATAACAAAACCAGTTTAGGCAAACAGAATATGGAGGAATATTCGCGTGAACCTTGCCCGTATCGTATTGTGGATGACTCTGGAGGTGCCTTTGCTATGGGCTCCATCGGCGGCGGCATCTTTCAGGCGCTCAAGGGCTTTAGAAATGCGCCACAGGGCCTGAGTCGCCGCCTTATGGGCAGCATGATGGCTGTGAAGGCGCGCTCGCCAGTGATAGCCGGCAATTTTGCTGCCTGGGGTGGCATGTTCAGTACCATTGACTGCACCCTGGTGCACTTTCGAAAGAAGGAGGACCCGTGGAACTCTATTATCAGTGGAGCTGCCACAGGTGGCATTCTGGCGGCACGTAATGGCCTGGCCTCAATGGCAGGCAGCGCCATCATTGGCGGCATCTTGCTCTCCTTAATTGAGGGCGTCGGCATACTTCTAACCCGCATCTCGGCCGAGCAATTCCGCAATCCAGCGCCACCCATTGATCCACAAGACGCCAGTGTTAATGCATTTGATTCGGATCCAGCAAAAGGATTTGGGTTTGGCACGCGAACAGCGAATGTTAATTCCTAAATTAAATTTGTTGACAGTTTTTTAACTTAGCCATCAATTATGACTCTGATATGTGGCTAAGTCTGAGCAAAATTTTTTTTATGGTTTTGAGACCATCTGGCTAATCGAAAAATACATGATGAAGTACTCGTCAGATAAAATTGAAGGATAGTTTTTCTGGTTACTGAAATGTAAAGTTTGATGTTTGGAAGCCCGGCGTGAAATTATAGGATACACAAGGTTGAACCGTACCGAGCCATATGTATTATTGAAAATGATACGGTTTTGGCATAAGCCCTTTATGGAAAACTTAGGAAAGCATAAATAACTTAGGCCCAAACCATTAGACGTATCATTCCATATTTGGTAGATGTCATTTGTGGGAAGAGATCAAATATTCTCTTTGAAGGTATTATTGGCTGCCTAACCATCTGAGAAGATAAAGAGATTTCGCTCAAAGCCTTGGATTAATATGATGCAGCCAATTCAAGAAATATTCGATCCAATTTGCCTTAATAAAAATAGCTGAAATCGTGTCATTTGCCTTGCCAAAGATCTTCTGGGTCCCCTTTTATCATTACCAAACAGCCCAGTCTGGCGATGTATTAATAGTTTTCACGATGCCAATAAACTGTCAATCAGTACGACTTGCAGCTCGTTGAGATACACTGGCAGTATGCAAAGGACTAGCCAATTCAACAGGTAGTTACCCACACACTTGACACGCGTCAGAAGCAACAGGCTGTATGTTTTATTGGCAAATGTTTACCTGTTGCTGTTGCCGTGCTTACCTGTCGCTCCGCAGGAGAGTCTCAGGGCATGCGCCTGCGCCGGCGCATAGAGTCAAGTGCTGCTCATTGGCCCGGTAGTGGTGGGTGTGCCTTGTCCTTTTACAACCTGTGCACTCGAGATGACCACAGTTGGGAGAGCGAGGCTAATAATGATCGCAGCCCTGCGGCTACTGTCCACGTGTTGGCCTCAGTCTCCGGCCCTGCTCAGTTTCCGTCTCAGGTACAACGTGAGTCACAGTTTTCCCAGGGACTGTGCAAAAAACCAATAGCAAGGATTTCCCTCACACATGGGCAACGGTGGGAAAAAGTCGCCTTTGCCCAACCCAGTTATAAAATCGGTCCTTATGATAATGTTGCCAATATCGAGAGACGTCGACGTCGGCGTCAGCGTCAGCGTCGCGTCAGGAAATACCACATGGAAATTTTTTGAATAACCGGCAGACAGCTTGGTGCCCGCCGACTGTGGGAAGATCCGATAGCACGAACCAAACGGCCAGAACCCAACGAGCCCAACATATGCAACTGTGACTCGTGTGTTTTTTCACTTCGTTCTCATTTTCTATCCAAGCGCCGGTCTTCGCGTAATGTGTGAAATGTTTTCCTTGAGAAATCCCTTGGTCATGGTACACGCCTGGACCCGGCGCTACGGGAAAAGCACAAAGCAAATTTACCGTTGAAATTCACATTATCATGTGGCACAACAACAGCCAGAGATCGCACCTACGCTTGGTACGTGCTCTGACGAGTCCCTCAACATGCGCTCTCATATGTGTCCACGTCCTCAGTCCTCAGTCCTCCGCCATGCGGCGTTGTGCTTGTTTTCCCAATTATCTCAGCATACGTTGCCAAAAAGGTAGAGGCGCTAAAATTTGTTTAGTTTTCATTTGTTGGAAATTCAGACTTTTGCACAGCCAACAGCGATCGGCCATGGGAACCAGCCTGGGAAGTCGAAGGTAGAACGGAGGTGAAATTGCTTTCACCCAGCGAGAGGGTTTTACATCCATGCATAAGAAACCCAAACACAAAGAGCCAAATACATATTTACTGTTTGTAGCATATATTGAGTATTTTATAGAGAAATGAACATTCTACTATGGCTAATTAAAATATTATAATTTATACATCATTTGTATATTGTGCCCGATTCAAATGAATGATGCTGAAATTGTAAATATATTTCGCGTTAACTTTACGCAGAATCTGCTGGAATTGCATCTTTGTAACTGCACTTAAGAAGTTTCAATTTATTCAAAAAAACTATTTTATAATATCTCAATTGAAAAATAAAATGTCTTTGCGGCCATTGAATAGATTTGACAATTTTATAGTTGACAAAACAGAACAACAATTTAAATGAATATTGACATTTATTTGTTTTTAATTTTTTTTATTGTGTATTGGTTTTTATAACTAACAAATTTAAAATAAAAATATATAGTTGAAAGTTGCTGCTGGACTTACGAGTCTTATAGATAGCTAATAGGTAGATAAACACTTATTAAAATTACAATTTTTAGATGATGAACATAAAAATATGCTTTCAAGCAAATCTAAATATCAATATATAATAATAAAAGATTTTATCAAGAAATGAAATAGAGAAGAGAAAATAAAATGTGTATTTCACTTCAAAATGGATAAGTTTGTGATTATACCTATAAAAATACGGAGATTACACTTAAGACTTAGAGAATGATAAATTAATGTTGATAGGTAAAGAATTATATTTGGAAATGCACTCATGTTTTGCGCAAACGAATCAAACGTAGCTGCATAAGCTGCATCTCATCAAACTGGGATTCATTGATTAACTAATGAAGAAATAAGGACATATATGAGAATAGTTAGAGTTTGGATATATAGCTAGAGCATTATTGAATCAGAAAACATGAAAATTCTGAAAACCGTGCTGATCACCTAGTCACACACCTCACACCTACGCCAACGCCTGGTGAGGCAGGCGGGCACGCAGGACGTCAGTACGGGCACAGAGATCAGTACACATGGTGGGCATATGTTTGGCCAGCCAACAAAACACCTCGACGAAAACATCAAATGGAAGATGCTGGAACAGGGACTGGCAATGGGATTGGTAATGGGATTGGACGGGGTCTGTGAAATGGAAGTGATTTTTTTTTGCATGCTGCGCCCGCATGGCGCTAAATGCTAGCCATTTGGTTCTGGGCAAAGGCTGGAAATTGTTTTGGTTGTTGGTTGCTTTTACTATCGATTGTATTGAGAGATTGCAGATAGTCTGAATGGCAAGAACTTGAGGCTGGGAGAGCCCGCAGCAAGCCTTGGCACATGTCAATGTCAAACATTGAACCGCATTCGAACCGATCGATGCGCATTAAAGGAATTTCGCCGACTTGCTGGCACCTTTCGATGTGGCTTGCATTAGAATTGTGTTTGCATTTATCCGCATTTCGTATGCTGGAGAGTCGGCGCCAAATATCTCATGCATATATGACACACATTTCGTATAGCTCCAGAGATTTGTGTTCTGAGATCTGGGTGATCTGCAGGCGGAATGCATTGATTACGCGAGTATTCGAGTATTGTATTTGGGCTTTTAGAATAACTTAGGTGCTTAGCGCATAAATTAACTGACTCCTCCCCAAACAGTCGGTCAGTGGAAGTTCAAGGTGTTCTCGCCTGATCCGATCTCTCTTATGCTATTCGCTATTGCGACTACTGTACACATCGCCCCATCACGATGGGCTGGCCCTGAAATAGCGCCCGGTGCAATGCACTCCATCCACGACATCTATAGGTTTGGCTTTTCCCCAGGGAATCGGAGCGGTGGGTGATGCTGGTACTCGTATTGCAATAGTTTTGAGGCGCAATGACTTTTTCTGACAAAATACTCGTCCGCATGTCGATTTTCGATTTGCATATCGCATCGATAATTGTTTCTCAATTTTCGGCTGCCGCTTCATATGCATGCAATGTGCGATACCAAAGCTAATTTGCGTTTTTGGCTGATGAAACCGATCAAATCAAATCGTCTCTCTCTTTCTTCTCACGCCACTCCGAGATCGGACTGCAGCGTGTCGCGTTTGCTCGACCTTAGCCCAATATTAAGAACCATCATTTGCGGACCAGTTCCATTGAACTCATCAATATAACATTATTTTTACTCGATATCAAGAGCATGTAAATATATATCTCGTAGACGCCTCAGGTGTGATAAAGTGCACAGACAAATTTCTTGGAAATGCCGAAATGCTGTCTGGGCAGTATCCTCAGATAATGACAGTGGACCCACTCAAGTTGGAGTTGGTTCAAATATACTTAAATAATTGAAATTAAAATGAAAGTTGAACGTTAAGTTAACAGATTTCTTATTCTTATACTAAATAATATTGTTTTGTTACGGAATGACAACAGCCGAATTGCTATAGCCATGACCTTCTGTCTGTTTCTGTGTTTACTTTTAAGCAAAGACTTTGCTTAGATGCGTCTCAAATGATATATCATCCATACCAAAATATTAAGTTATTAAGTACTCATTAACTAGCTTAAAATTTTCTTTATTTTAAAAATATTATTGAAAGGAGGAAACTTTCAAGCAAGTTATGAACATCTATCAAGCCTCTCCCTACAAGCTTTTATATTTTATAAATATTTAACAGGTGTAAACTGTACTTGAGAGTGAAAAGATTATATTGGGCAATTAGTTGTGCTTGATGTGTTCTATCGGCTGCTAGCTCCATTGAATTCAATTTGAAAGACATAGTTGAACAACCGATTTCAATCAAAGTTGAAAGTCGCAATTTATCTTGCCTGTTGCACTTTCGTAAATATATTTCTTGAAGACAATCCGCTGATGCCTTCCCATTGCTCATCATGCAGACGTTGTCTCTAGTCACAATGGAGTCTACAATCTATAGTCTCGCCGTGAACCTGATACTGGATACACACTGTCGACTGTCTGCCAGTGAGCGCGAATCCGTTACAAACTCATGAACCGGCTGCCATGAGACGCAGCTCCTGCACCGGGAGAGTTGGAGAAAAGTTCGTGACATGGCATCAACAGTTTGTCATTAAACATTTCGACAATAATTTGTGCTTTGTGCTCGTATTTATATGCACACTTAAATGTATTTTTTATTCGCATTTTCTACGCTGACTTCCCGAATTGTAACCGTAGACAGTGGCTGGGGCCGTTCCAGAGCCAAAACGAGAGCCAGAGCCGAGGAGTCAGTTGAAATTGTTATGGCAGGTAATTTACATAAAGATAAGTGGAATACGAAGAGCCGGAGCACTACTTACAATTCTGATTAGCCAGCGACCTGTCTATTGTAGTGCGAGCAATGGAAAAACTCGCCACGAAATGCGCCTTTTGTTATTGTAAATACACTCTCTGACTTTT